CAGGTGGTCAGGCTCGCTGACTTGGTTGATGCATGTCATCGATCCTAATTGCGTGGATCGATGCTCACGATATCAATCACTGGATTGTCTGGTCCAGACTCGATTATTAACAGGCCGCCGTCATATAGCTGGAATATTGCTGAGTGCGGCGTTAAACAACAAACCAAACCAAACCAAAGACACAATGAGACACAATCAATGCCTCCATAGTCAGACACAACCAATGCCTCCATAGTCAGACACAGCCTATGCCTCCATAATGAGAGACAATCAATGAATCTGTAGTTAGACACAACCAAATGCATCAACAGCGAGGCACAACCTACGCCTCTACTGTGAAACACAACCAATGCCTTTATACTGTAACACAACCTATTATTCCATAGTGAAACAGAACCAATGTTTTTATAGTGAAACAGAACCAATGTTTTTATAGTGAGACACAACCTATTACTCCATAGTGAGACACAACCAATGCCTCCATAGTGAGACACAACCTATTCCTTCATAGTGAGACACAACCAATGCCTCCATAGTGAGACACAACCTATTCCTTCATAGTGAGACACAACCAATGCCTCTATAGTGAGACACAACCTATTCCTTCATAGTGAGACACAACCAATGCCTCTATAGTGAGACACAACCTATTCCTTCATAGTGAGACACAACCAATGGATCCATAGCCAGACACAACGTATGCCTCAATAGTGAGAGACAACCAATAAATCCACAGTGAGACACAGCCAATGCCACCATTGTGAGACACAACTAATGCCTCCATAGTGAGACACAACCTATGCCTCCATAGTGAGACACATCCTATGCCTCCATAGTGAGACACAACCTATGCCTCCATAGTGAGACACATCCTATGCCTCCATAGTGAGACACATCCTATGCCTCCATAGTGAGACACATCCTATGCCTTCATAGTGAGACACAACCTATGCCTCCATAGTGAGACACATCCTATGCCTTCATAGTGAGACACATCCTATGCCTTCATAGTGAGACACAACCTATTCCTTCATAGCGAGACACATCCTATGCCTCCATAGTGAGACACATCCTATGCCTCCATAGTGAGACACATCCTATGCCTCCATAGTGAGACACATCCTATGCCTCCATAGTGAGACACATCCTATGCCTCCATAGTGAGACACAGCCAATGCCTCCATAGTGAGACACAGCCAATGCCTCCATAGTGAGACACAGCCAATGCCTCCATAGTGAGACACAGCCAATGCCTCCATAGTGAGACACATCCAATGCCTCCATAGTGAGACACAACCTATGCCTCCATAGTGAGACACAGCCAATGCCACCATGGTCAGATACAACCAATGCATCTACAGTCAGACACATTTGATGCCCCTATAGTGAAACACAGGCACCTGGTCCGCGGTGAGACACGCTGCTGGGACTATAGCTTGTACACACGTTACAACACCTACCAATCACCACACAAGACACTCAGTCATTCAACAGTGGTGCAGAGATGGAGAATGTGCTATGACAAAGTAAACTATGATTAATCATAACGCAACATCATGAAGACAAGAGATGAATCCTGGTATAGCAGCCTGGAGAACAGAGATTGTACACTGGACAAGCTGTCTCTGGGGATTTTACTGACGCTTCAGACAACGTAGATCTCCCTGAAAGCGACATGATCTCAGCATTGCAGCAGTCTGGGACCACGTAAGTAAGTGACCGAGTGTTCCTCCGATTTAAGCAATATCCTAGTCACAGCCAACCGGGGACACTAAGAATGGGCCTCACATAGTGTACCCATGAAGGGAATCGAACCCACACCTTTAGCATAAAGGCTCCAGCGCTGTTTGGTTACCTCACAAACTCTAATGTCAAAGGAATGGGCAACTCAACTACAGCTGAATAAGACACTTTGCGTAATACCGATGTATGACATAGGGCAATCTGATGTCATCACAGATAAAGGTCGTCTACAGCGAAAAGCCACTGTTCGCTGTCACGGCACATCGAGATAGAGGTGCGCGAAGTAAGAACCGTTGGCCCCACTGGGTCTGCAAACAACAGCAGCTGTAGCTTTAGTGTCAAACGTGGGACACGTGTCGTCTACGTGGCACTCTACCCTCATGTCACTAACTAGCTAAGCGACACATACCCTCCTTTAATCCCGATAATCACGAATAACCACTATATATCAGCCTGCGCAGATGAGAAAGTTAGCAAGTTAATATCACCTGATTGTGTGGACGCACATCTTATTGGATCGCAATCATCTATACGAAAGAAATAAGTAGAACAACAAAAATAAATATAGAATATATCATATATAGCGTCTGTGGGAAAGTCAACACGAGGTATTAGAATGTGATTACGATACGTCTGGCATCTTTCAAAGCGATCATTACTTACAGCTGGTATCAAGCCACACACACGTTAGTGCAAATTGAGCCAGGATCTGCGGCTTGTAGGTTCGAATCTTAGATTTTCCCCAATGTGAGAACCTTGGTGTGCGTCAGCCACATAGCCGTGCTTCATCAGAGCGCTACACGACTATGGCCATCCCCATGTTGAAACTTAGGTTTACTCTCACATTAAAAGTGCACCGACATGATACGAATGAAATACGTATATCGGACCTGATATACAAACAACGAATTCTCAATAATATTTGTGGGGCGCTTCAACCGCCTTCCATTCCTCAGAAACAGTACGAGATTTCGATTGTTACAAAAATGAATCCAGTGAGGTTACCACATTTCTGGCAACCGAGGTTGACTAGATTCAGCCTGAGATATCCAGTGTTCATCAAGGACAACTTAGGGCGGTACATACAATGTATGCAACACAACCGTATATATGTAGCACACAATGGCTGCAATGAGACACACAAAAGTCATGTATATTGCTATAACATCACAGGTGTTTTTTGTTGCTGTACAAAGCTGCCATGATACCTTTTCTATTCACTGCATGTTAAACGACAAAATTATTCACAATATCTCGTAGACCATGAAACAGAGATACAAAATCATCATCAAAGTTGCATGATTGATTCTAAAGTATTTACATCAATAATCGAAAATTAAATTTCCAAACAGAATACATATTTACTATCAATACCTAGTTAATTATAATTATTTAGTTTTGTTTATGACCAAATTGATATATGATACTAATTAACTTTGACGATGACGTCACTCGGAGGCTGCACCCCAAGGGAACCGCACCTCATGGGTTGTCTTCTGCTCCGTCTGACAGCTGGCATTGTGACACCCACTCCCCCTTCTCAAACACACACCGCATTTACTGCATTTTTCAAATTTTCTTAATTACTTGATAAACGTAGAGTTGACCGTCGACGTGAAAAAAATGGAAAGTCAAACATGTTTTTAAAATGATATCTGAAAGGATTTTTCCGCTGCATGCAGTAATAATAAAAAAAATGATTCTTAAAAAACAACATTTACTTCCTAATGTTAAATGTCTTCCTTTACTGAAATTAGCTATTAGGCAGCAAAAGACAACATTCTTTTTAAAATTTTAAATCTGGATCATCGTATCCGTAAACCAAGTATTAAAAATAATAGTCCTTAGAATTTCAGCTTTATTGCATATGAAGAAACAGACTTAAATATATACAGCAACACCGTGGTCAGGCACAATAACATACAAGTACATACGCAATAACTTGTTTTGTTTATTGCTTCAATTCCTTGCTATGTTTACTACTATGGTAATTGTGTCATCTTCCTTGCAAATATAAATTGATATGATACTTCTATAACAAATAATTTTGGGGCTTTTTAAAATATGTTTTCTTAACTGTCCCCAATTAAATTACAAAGTTTGAAGTCTTATGCCCCGTTCACATGCACAACATTTACTAACATATTGTAATTTAACACATGTGTAACTATACATACGTGCGTATATGTAAATTTACTATGCGTTCACGTGAAAAGCATCTTAGGTGTGTAAAGAAAGTATGTAAATTGTGTAAGGCACTCATATTCGTCAGTCTGTTCACGACTTTCAACACAAAACAGGTTGTTTTCCAATCAAAGTTGAATGAGAAGAGAGTTACTTCACCGAAAAGCAACACGTGTTTGATTTAATTTGTACACAAAGTTTTGACGCCTTGAAACCAAAAGAAAACACCGTCCGCTCAACTCTGAATACACACATAAAAGTTGGCAACTGTTGACAATTTGTTTGATGTTGTCAAAAGAACAGATATTAATTAGATCATCCTCTTACGTTGACATAAACGTTCACGTTGCAACATATACACACAGTGCAAATTGACATTTACATTTGCACCTGCTCCAGACATTATGCAAATTTGCTCCTTGTGTAAAAATAGACACATGAGTAAACGCTCACATGACAAGTACACTCACGTATGTATTTCTACACACGTCTGCACACATACACACACATGTATATGTGCAGAGGCGCGCGTGAACGGGGTAGTAGTCTTCGGAAACTTCCCTGCCTTCTTCCGGTTAACATTCTTTGCTGTTTAGGAGAGTTGTACCCACTATTTGATTATGGTCTTATGGTAACTTCTATATTCCAGTAAATCTAAGGTATACACAGAGAAAAAACTTTCAATTTGCATGTCTTAAACGATGTACACGCCTATCTACTCTACTACTACTCTTTATGATAAATTAAAGGGTATTTAACAGAGAAAATTGGTCACAAAAGAACACTAGGGTATGTACAGTACCTTAATAAAATATTATTGAGTTTATTCTTTTTAAACCATTTGTCTTTTTTGAGGCAAAAGAAAAAGATCGGTTCCATTGGCATTCTTTTTTGTAAAGTTGAAACAAATAGTGATATAGAAAAATCAGGGATTCGAACTTGAGTATTAGCTTGAATGTATTTCCGTGTCAGAATCCACGCAAGAAGCATCTGATGCTTCAGAGTTATCTCATCTTGGCTACTTTGTCATCAAAAATTTGATTGGTTGATCTGATGTTTCACGTTAGTTGATTGGCTGACCCTTTCGCGGAATATTCAACATGGTGGCCATGAGTTGTGTTTCGATTTGATGTGAATTATAGAAGGCATTTTTTTCAGTCATCCTGAGGTGATCGAAATATAATAACACAGTGAATATGTATATTAGGGGACCACACGCGTTCTGTTGTAATGGCGAATTGTATGAAGCCTTTATTGACGAGAAATCGCGAGTAAACATAAATGTTTATTACGTGACCAGGAGCAGGACTTCACCAGCTGGATTGACATTCCGTGAAAACTTCGTGTATATGTCGAAAGGAAAAGATCTCATCATTCAAGAAGTTGGGACTTTTATAGATTCAAACAGTGGAATGCAGAAACCGTTTATACTTGTTCGTGATGCTATGTCTCAAACTCATTACATATTAGCCGTTACAAACATTCCAGGTGACACAAACACATCTCCTAAGAACACACTCTCAGCCATACGTTCATTGTTATTTAAGAAGGAAGAGTTAGTAAGTATGATAAAAGTTTTTGATGGTCCTCTGATTGTTTGGACGTGTGATGAAAAGGTCAATATAGGATTTACTACGAAACAAGAGCAAACAACTTTTGAGAAAAAGTCATTTCCAGTTTTAGATTTAGATAAAAGTCGTGCAAATTTCACTGTAATCTCAACAGTATTAACTAATGATGAAATTTTAATGTTCATCAAATATTCATGTAAACAGCAACAGAGTGAGGAAGAAGATTTATTCCAAGGGCACGAAGGAGACGACATTGCATTTGAGGTTTGGTCAATAAAGCCAAATACAGATAATAACACATGGACACAGAGAAAACTAGATTCCTCATGCTTTTTACCACAACAGTATGCATGTACAGTGGTAGATTGTAAGGTGAAGATAAAATCAAACAATTTGTCAAATGGAGATGAACAGCCCTTGAGTGATGTTGTGTTGTTATTGGATGGAGGATATATTGTAACACTTGCAAATGGATGTCTGATGAACTGTTGCCATGTGAACACCTCTTTAACAAGTTTCCAAGAATGGAATTTTGTTGGTGTATTTGATTCAACGACTGTTGTGATAAAGACGTCTCAATCCGAAGTGATTGTAGTGGATTATGGGAGCGGGAAGGTAAAGAAAAGGGAAATTATACGTTGCTTTTGTGGATTTTTAAAAAGCGTTTGATTCAGTTAATCATCTTAAACTATGGGAGTGTCTGCACGATGTAGGCTTGGGTGGAAAGATGATGAGAACACTTAAGGGAATCTATGCCTCCGTGAAAGCGTGTGTGAGATGTAATGATAACATTTATACAGAATATTTTGATTGTCCTAACGGAGTTAAACAAGGCTGTATATTAAGCCCTCTATTATTTTCCTTTTTCATCAATGAACTGTCAAACGATGTTTCATCACATGAGAAACACGGCGTACAATTATTTCCAGACTTGTTTGAAATATTATTATTGTTTGCCGATGATGTTATTCTTGTCTCTGACACAATAACTGGTTTACGGAACCAACTTAATATTCTTGAAAAGTTTGCAGATTCACATGGATTAACGGTAAATTTAGATAAAACGAGTGTTGTTGTATTTAGAAGAGGAGGGCGGTTATCTGTTCATGAGAAATGGTTTATAAAGGCAAACGTGTTTCAACCGCCAACTCCTACAGATATCTTGGGTTTGTATTCTCATATACATCAAAGATGAACTAATGTGTTTCAGATCTAGCATCAAGGGGTAAACAAGCTTTAATGGAAATATTTCGCAATCTACGGAAGATTGGTTTTGTTGACACTTCAGTTTTTTTTTAAATATTTGATACTCAGATTCAACCTATTCTTTTATATGGTGCGGAAATATGGGGTGTAGACAGATTTGAAAAAATAGAACAAGTGCATATTATGGCTGGTAAGAAGTTTCTTAACGTTTGTTTGCAAACTCCAAATGCTATTGTGTATGGGTAATGTGGTCGGTACCCACTACATGTAAATGCTATGTGTCGTTCTGTAAAGTATTGGCTAAAAGTGATTGAAATGGACGAAGATAGGATACCAAGAAAATCTTATAATATGCTTGTATATAACGACAAGTGTGGTCATCATAACTATGCTTCTTCTATTCGTTCCATATTATTTTCTCACGGATTTGAAGTAGTTTGGCTCAGTCAAGCTGTTGGCGACAAACCATCGTTCATGAATAGTTTTAAAAACTTTTTGATAAATATGTTCTACCAATCATGGAATAGTACTATCAAGGCTAGTTCTAGGTACATTCTGTATAAAGAGTTTAAAAGTCTTCTGGAACCAGAAAAATACCTTCATTATTACTGAAATAATGTATCGAAATGTTATGATAAGGCTTAGAGCCGGGCTACTAAGACTTAAGGTAAACGAAGGTAGATGGGCTGATATTGATTTACGTTTACAACTCTGCCCCATATGTGAAACAAGTATAGAGAATGAATATCATTTTACTTTAGAATGTGAATATTACAACGATATTAGACAACTGTATTTACCAACAACTTTTTGCCATAATCCAAATATGCATAAATTTAAAACGCTCCTGTCATCTTCATGTAAACAATTACTTGGAAAGCTATGTAAATACCTGTATTACAGCTATGAAAGAAGACGTAATTATGAAAAGCCTGTAAATTTGTAAATTTGTACCTGACCATACCTTTTTTTCATGTACCACTATATCAAATATATGTATTGTATATGGGCCAGTGGCCTTAGTACAAATAAAGACTTCTTCTTCTAATCAGTTGAGACTAGTTATGAAAGCCATGACATTTTTCATCAAGAAAATTTAAATTCATTTTGATGTCACCATATTATAATTTTAAGAAGACACATGTTCTAGTCATATGTTTAAGCAGTAGAATGATTTTTTGTTAGTGAATAGTTTGAAGCTCATCTCAGTAACATTCAGACTTAATAAAACTGACTAAATCAATCATGAATGATGTCATGAACAACCAGATAAAAAATTGTTGTATTTGGTTACAGGTCACAAAGACATGGTCAGAAGTGTCTAACATCATGATTGGGGACTTCCTCCAGTACGGACATCATCAGATACTGGTCACCTTCACTGAGGAATCATCAGATGATGAAGGCAGCTCCTGGATGTTGACAGATCTAGCTATGTGTGATATAGACTCCAGTCGATGGGCATCTGGGATGGAAGTTGACCACAGTGATGACAGCTGTAGTAAAGGAAAAGCATCAGCTCTCAAGGCACTGTCTAACAATCTTCAGGTGGTTACATTCTGGATAATTTTACAGTTAATAAATACAAAAACAATATTTTATATAAGTGATAGGTATTGACATCAGAATAAAGAAATGATTATCTGCTTTAAATTCAGTTTTCAGTAAGGGTGTCTTTGATTGGAAATTTTAGCATTGCTATAGTCATGATAGTGACTCAAAAGGATCATGATATATACAGCTTACTATACGAGTATGTGTGTCATACTGATTTTACGGAATGAGTGTCAGAATTCTTGTATTTCCCTTGAGAGTGTGTGGGTAGTACATGAATTCTTTCACAAGTTTTGTGAAATCAAATCCTTTTGATCTCCCCTTTTAGGAAAATGCACTGATTATGACAACAGTCTTAGAAAACCACAATTGTTGAATGACGTCAGCAATCTTCAGGTATGAAGTCGTTTCTAGTGTGATGTCATTCCACCCTTACGTCAAAATAAGATTCGCATCACATCGTCAATGTCATCCAGATCACGTAAACAATACACTGGTGCGCATGAAGTGATATTTAGCACAAGCGCACGCACAAATTTTATGAATTCTGTTGTTTCTAAAGCTGTGGGTAATGAATTGATGTATCACTTAATGTTTGTGTATGTAATTACATTAATATCATGATATACGATGGCATCACTAGTTATCAGAGATAGATGCAATATTGAAGGAGGCATTAATCCACATGCACGGATGTACTGCGTGATATATGTATGTTTACCGCTGTATGGTGATTTTGTGCATACCCTAAACTGATCATGCTCACAAATTTTGTATCACAGTCTCTTAGATTATTATCATGATTATCATCAGCCTTGGTGAATAGCCAATTGCTAAAATGTTTGATATATTTTCCTAAAAATAATTATATTTGATATGAACATGAATTGGTAGGTTTGTTATGAAAATGAAGTAATTTATCATTCTGTTGATGTTGACAAGTCAGAGTTCAACAACAAACCTGTGCAGTGCTGAGCAGCATCTGTCCAACAAGGTCAAGTTCCTGCACAGCACCTGGGCACATCTGCAGCACCTGAGTGGAGGAGGGGAGACAACTCTTCCCCAGCCAGAGGTAGGTTGGCCATATATCTTGTTATAGGGCTAAATTTGGAAATAAAGTTTAGGCCCCCTCACATGATAGGCATCACAGTATCCACCGCAGTAGTTTCTAAGAGCGGGCATACAATTCAAAGTCTGCAGGGATTTGAAGACTGATGATATTGGTGATAGTATGTTTTGTTTTGTTTGTTTGATTGTTTGTTGTTTAAGGCCGCATTCAGCAATATTCCAGCTATATGACAACGGTCTGTTAATAATCAAGTCTGGACCAAAAATCCAGTGATTGATATCATGCATGATGAGCATTGATCCATGCAACTGGGATACGATGACATGCATCAACCAAGTCAGCAAGCCTGACCACCCGATCCCGTCAGTTGCCTTTTACGGCAAGCATGGGTTTCTGAAGACCTATTCTACCCCAAATCTTTACGGGTCGATGATACTATGTACAGATGCATATCAAATGGATAATGTTTGCGTGTATGTATCATTATGTAGAGCATGTCTAATTTCTGTACGCTTGAGACAGCTGAGACACTCATTGGCAGGGTGGGCTGTACACATGAGACGTGGAAGACACTCATGGGCAGGGTGGGCTGTACACATGAGACTTGGGAGACACTCATGGGCAGGGTGGGGTGTACACATGAGACATGGCGGACACTCATGGGCAGGGTGGGCTGTACACATGAGACTTGGGAGACACTCATGGGCAGGGTGGGCTGTACACATGAGACATGGCGGACACTCATGGGCAGGGTGGGCTGTACACATGAGACGTGGGAGACGCTAATGGGCAGGGTGGGGTGTACACATGAGACATGGAAGACACTCATTGGCAGGGTGGGCTGTACACATGAGACATGGCGGACACTCATTGGCAGGGTGGGGTGTACACATGAGACATGGAAGACACTCATTGGCAGGGTGGGCTGTACACATGAGACATGGCGGACACTCATGGGCAGGGTGGGCTGTACACATGAGACATGGCGGACACTCATTGGCAGGGTGGGCTGTACACATGAGACATGGAAGACACTCATTGGCAGGGTGGGGTGTACACATGAGACATGGCGGACACTCATGGGCAGGGTGGGCTGTACACATGAGACATGGAAGACACTCATTGGCAGGGTGGGCTGTACACATGAGACATGGGAGACACTCATGGGCAGGGTGGGCTGTACACATAAGACGTGGAAGACACTCATTGGCAGGGTGGGCTGTACACATGAGACGTGGGAGACACTCGTGGGGTGAGTGGGCTGTACACATGAGACGTGGGAGACACTCATGGGCAGGGTGGGCTGTACACATGAGACGTGGGAGACACTTGTGGGGTGAGTGGGCTGTACACATGAGACGTGGGAGACACTCATGGGCAGGGTGGGCTGTACACATGAGACGTGGGAGACACTCATGGGCAGGGTGGGCTGTACACATGAGACGTGGGAGACACTCATGGGCAGGGTGGGCTGTACACGTGAGACGTGGGAGACACTCATGGGCAGGGTGGGCTGTACACATAAGACGTGGAAGACACTCATTGGCAGGGTGGGCTGTACACATGAGACGTGGGAGACACTCGTGGGGTGAGTGGGCTGTACACATGAGACGTGGGAGACACTCATGGGCAGGGTGGGCTGTACACATGAGACGTGGGAGACACTCGTGGGCAGGGTGGGCTGTACACATGAGACGTGGGAGACACTCATGGGCAGGGTGGGCTGTACACATGAGACGTGGGAGACACTCATGGGCAGGGTGGGCTGTACACATAAGACGTGGAAGACGCTCATGGGCAGGATGGGCTACATTGTGTGTCAAAATCTCTTGGTTGATTGTGTGTCAGACTTGGTGACTTGGTTGATTGTGTGTCAGACTTGGTGACTTGGTTGATTGTGTGTCAGACTTGGTGACTTGGTTGATTGTGTGTCAGACTTGGTGACTTGGTTGATTGTGTGTCAGACTTGGTGACTTGGTCACAGTCAAATATTGGTTACAAGGACAGCCTTCATAAAGCCCTGCTGAAAAGGATGTTGTTTATCCCATAGGTTCCACTAACCACCTTGAAAGACGATGGTTCATTGACAGCCAACATGACAGGCAAGAAGCCTCCAGGCATAAAGACTACAGTCAGCTGGCAGACATCTGTGGGCTGCCATCGTGTCATCGGAGTTGATGTACACAATACCTCCAACAGGTTAGTCATTGTTTCCATATCAAATACAAATCTCTGCATAAAAACCAGAGTCGATTGTACGATTCTGACTATATCATGAGCATGGGTTTATGAATCACTGTCCTGTTGGTGGCACCTGTCACAAACACATGCAAAGGCAAAGTATAAGGAACATGCAGTGTTTCTTTTCAGTTATAAAATTACCTGAGCACCATGTCCAAAGGATCTGTAGCAAGGTCCATTCACTATATTGCTTCAAAGGTTTCAGATTTAGATTTATGATAATGTTTTTATCCCCCGCCCAACAAAGTTGGCGGGGGCAGGCCACAAAGTTGCGACTAAATTGGTCGCCATGGCGATCTAGTTTTGTATTTTGCGACTGGTATTTTCATGTCAGTCGCCAACTGGCTCCTTGTCTTTAATTAAGTTTGGCGACTAAATATCTCTTGTCATAAGATATTAAAAAAGATCGTTTTTAATATAAGTGCGTAACTTGTGAAAAAATTCGATATCAGAACATAATAACATCGACAAGATCACTGTTGGCCATGTGTTCTGTTTTCGCTTTCGATATGAAGCTCCATACCTGGAATGAAGGAAGCACTTTCCGTTATTAAGTAATGCACTAACGATGTTAAGAGTTTAGTACCCACGCATGCGCTGTACGACATCCGCCCAGGTGACAGCTAAGGCGGTCGTTTCGCCGTTCAAAAACACGAAGTATTTTTCTATATTTGCGCAAGTCAAAACAACAACAAATCGTTGTCAATCGGCAAATGATGAATACCGTATTTTCTTTAGTATAGTGCGCACCCCTCTCTAGCAGATTCAGTATTTATTTTTATTTTTTTTGGGGGGGGGGGGGGGGGGGGAAACAGGGGTGGAAATTTGCCATTTCCCGACTCTCGGGGAAAGTAGAAATACGAGGTTGGGCAACAAAATCACTTACTTAAACTTGTCCGGAGGCAAGTAATATTGGAAATTACTATCACTGTCTACATTTCTAACTACTTGTAAGGCAGGCAGCCAATCAAATTTCAGCGGTGATACCAAGCTCGTGTTTGATAAATTTCAGAAGTTGGCGAAAGATTTTTGTTAAATCATGTTATTCTGAACTAAAAGGCAGGAAATCACGATATATATATATTAAAAATATGGAACTTCGTGAATCTATCGTGCTAGGTTACGAGCTGTGACAGATTTTTCATGCATATATTTTTGCATTAAACATCGTGTCCGAGCCGAGAATTTAAGGCGACGAAAGCTGAGATGTCATTTGACTTACATTACATGCGATCGCACGAAAAGATGGAAATAATAACTTAGATGTAAGTTTGATTACTTTTAGATATATTTTTGTTGAATTTATTTATTACTTTGTATAATATATCAAAGATTTGCTTAAAACGTCTTTATTTTGCTCTTTGACATGTTCGATGTGGACCCGTTGTTGAAATGTGTGTCCGAGAATTATATTTTCAATAACATCGCGGGAAATAGTGAATAATTTTTTTATTTATTGATAAAAAAATGATAAATTGATATGGAATACGTATTTCAGACATTGTGAAATGTAATAGATTTAATAAATGAATGATATTATAGGTAGGTCCATACAAATATAAACTATTTTGACGTGACTACGGCTTGGCCGGAAAACCGGCCTACGGTGTTGAAAGGGATAAACACATAGATAAAAAAATCACCAGACATGTTGATTTACCGTTTAAATTGTATTTTTTTGTTCTGCTAGGCATTGTTTTATATCCAGGGATTAAGATTACCATGTGTATCTTCTCGTAAACTAAGCCGGACACAGCAATCAGCTGTACACACAATTTCTTGGAATTTACCGGTGATTCAGTCAAGTCACACCCAATGATATAACTTTACAGGGTTTTAATGCAAGGATCGGCAAAAAATGTATCTGAATCTTCTTCTTTTTATCAGGAATAATATATTCCAATATCTTGTTAATTTAGATGCAGCTTTTACCAAACATATTTGAAATAATAATAACCCTAAGCGTAAGCGAAGCAGCTGATTGCTATATATTACCGGGTATTACATGGTTTTACATGGAACACACAGTCTGACCAGTCACCGTCAAGGCTCCCGTGCACGTGATCGCGTGAATTACGTGTTGACATAGAATCGTCCAACAAAAACAAATATGACCTTTAACGAGTCAAAGTATGGCATTTATGACAAATGTATCCATTCTCTGTCAACGAAAGTTCGTTTCAAGGCATCAATAGCGGTAATCTGACCGTGGTTTCTCTTAATAACCGTTTGTTAGATCTTCCGATCGCTTCACACACGATTTCGCCGAAATAAATTAAAACAATATTAAAAGTAATTTTGAATAAAATTAATGAAATAAGTTACTAACATAAGTCCAGATATACAAAGAACACTTTTTATAGTCAGACAGTGTAATTACATGATTTGTTTGCGTACTTCAGTATGGATTTGTTGACATGGTATTTCCGGTGTTACGTTCTCACGGTAATGTCTTTCCATGGGGGGAAAAACATCAAAACTCATTATTTCGTGTATAATGCGCACCCCCTTCTACACAGCTGTGTTTTTTTGGAACTAAATGCGCAGTATACTCAAGATAATACGGAATGCTTTGAATGGCGAAGCTGACACGGAAGTTTCGTCGTCTATCGACACGTTCGATGAACCAAAACCTGCAACTGGCACCGGTAAACTGTCAGATGATGTTACTGACACAATGTTCTAAAGCTTGTTTGTCTGAAAAACTCAAAAGCTTCAACAACACGTCAACAGTTGTTGTTCATGATTTAAAACTGATTATTCAAACTAATGGATTTTTTTTTTTTGTTATGCAGTTAAATTACAAGTCATTACTTTTGGCTCCTTACATTTTGTCTTGGCTCCTTGAAATTCTATTTGGCTCCTTGAAAAAATAATTTAGGAGCCAAGTGGCTCCTTTGAATTTTTTTTAACTTTGTGGCCTGGGGGGATATAGAAACGGGGTCCGTCCGTCCGTCCGTCACTTTTCGTTTCCGGAGCATAACTCATAAACCGTCATAAACCAATATTTTTTCATGAAACTTTGCAGGTCTGTCAGGTACATGCTGAACTGGTACCTTTTGCTATTTAGAAATTTAAGAAATTTTTATTTTTTACGTTTCCATGGCAACAAGATAAACTTAGGTTCCAAACTCTTCTTTTTTTAACAATTTCCATGACAAGTTCCACCTTGGTTAAAAAAGGTTAGGGTTTGTTTAGATTTGATTACGTCATAAATTCTGTAACAGGGGCAGAGGATATAGCCACATTAGTGGCAAACTCTTGTTCCATTTGTCTTTGAAGTTTTCACTCTATCAATCTTTGAATACTATTGTCACAATCAATTATTTCTCAAAACTGTGGCAGGGATATACATGTCAAAGTATTTTGCAGAAACTGACTATGTCATTCCTCATTGACCATGTTCACAGTTTTACACATGACATTTTTGCTTCATAATCATTTTGCCTTTTACCCTGTTGCAGAACTCTGAGTTGCTGCACTTTGTCACTGGTTCAACATTCAACAATGACTGAAACCAGAAGTATGTCATCACAATCAAAATGGCTGCCACATGAGTCTTTTGAGCAGACAGATGAGAAAAGAACACCTGAAAAACATGCATCTAAGAGGCTGAGACTCAGCCCGCTTTTAACTCTGCCTATCATGCAGCAGAAGGGACAGCCACTGAGACCAGGTGACAAAAAGACTTTAACAGTCAGCTTTGATGGAGAGCAGGCTGGGGTACAAGATGGCTGGAAGCTGTGGGTGTTCCTGACCACCTTGGAACATGGTCCTACTGGTCCGGAGTCTGGAGATCAGGTGATGGAGGGAAGTCATAGAGAACGGACCATTTGTTGTGGATCTGTGTCCATGACAACAAAGGATTATCTCAAGGGGACATATTCAATTGCACCTGATTTGACAAGTGGCAGTGTGAGAGGTAACATCAACTGTGACACAAGGACTCAGGAAAATGAATTTTTGTCTAAACCATCTAGGGTACTTGGGCTGTGCATATTTAAGCCCCTTCCTATTTAGCCCTTGCACTTTCAAACGGGAAAATAAAACAATTGTAAGCCCATGGGCTTAAATTAAATTGAAAAAGTGATTGATCTCCCATACCAGATAACAAGTGTTGTTGCACACTTCTATATGGCCATTTTGCATCAATATTGCACCTTAAGCACTGTTCGAGGTTTCCACGTTTACAAGGAACATTTGCTCCGTAATCAAGGTGATTTATTGGATATTCAGTGGGACATTTTAAACACATATGGCAGACATGCATAACTGAGATTTTGGTTTGTTGTTACATATTTGACAGGTATCATAGGTGTTCTTGACTCATAATTTTCTAGTTGAAAAAGAAAATCCTTTCTTATGTTAAAGTGTTGCTCTCTCATTCCATTTGAGAGTAGTGTTTCATTACACATTGGATATTCATTCGTCCATTTTTGTTTTTAAGCCCTTGGTTTAAATTTGGATAAAATGTTACTCAACTTCAATAGGCAAAATCCATAATTGATCCCAAGGCTTAAAAACATGCAGTCCCAGTATACTAAAAATAGAGAAAAGCAACTGAAACTGATGTACGTTTGGTTGGACATGAAATTGTTTGTCCTTTATTAGGCACTATGATAAATGTTTGTTTACAGAACATGCTAAGGCCAGACACATGTTTCTTTTTCTTGTATTACGGATTCTTTGAACCAAATTGGATGGATGGAGGCGGAAAAAAATACAAAAAACAAGAAACTGAAATGAATATAAAAATGTTTGTCAAAATAAAGACAAGATAAACAATGATTAAAGGGTAGATTCCTGTCTGTCACCAGATTTTTGTGTATGTCAGTCACATGACAGAAATTAACCAATAGTGATGAATACATATTGACACTTCATATTGAGCTGTAAGTAGATTATAGAGCATAAAAACACCGATCATATCAGAACTAAAAGTTGTATGGACAAAAAGATGGATGATATTTTATCAGTAGCAGATGGCTTGTTCTTTGGGCAGTATTAGTTGACACTGGCATAGTACTTACTCTAAACTTGATCTGTGACTATCACTGTCAGTGTCTGATGATACTTCTTGCTCCCTGTAAACATATTTTCACCATATGATCTGTATCACTGGCCAGCCCTGTGTATAGTGGCTGCAGGAGCAGGAGGAAGTATACTTTACCTTAAATTACCTTCTGTACCAACCTTGTGTGGTTGTGGCAGCTCATCTTAGTGTCATTGTTGTAGATCGGGGAGTGGGCTTGCATTAAAACTGGGTCTAGATTTTCGAAAAGATCTCAGCTGAGATTATTCTTAACACTTACGTTCACAGATAAGTTATCTTAAGTTTAAGATAAGATACATTTTTGAAACTATCATAAACCTGTCGCAGATCAAACAGAGCTATGAAACCTATCGTAACTCTGACACAGAACTTGTTTGTGTTGGAGATAGAAAAGCAGGGTGTTTCCCAGAGATGTCACAGAGATTTCCCAGCTGCAGACGACAAACAAGGAAATGGAAGACGTATTTGAGGACACACAAAAAAAGAAGCCCCGCAAGGCTAACTGCACTGCCTCCGAGATGGAGATGCTAGTCTCGGAGGTCAGTTCTTAAAGCTGCAAGTATTGATGAAGATTATCTGCTTGGGCTGGTATCTTTGTGAATAGCCACCAGCGATCTCTTGAACACTGGCCTGCTTGTAGTTTGTTCAATTTGAGAACATATTTCTCAAAAGCAGTGAAAGTTACTGAAGGCCACTCTGGAGTACCAAGGTTATTCAGCTGCACCACTTGAAATTATTTATTTTGTGGATGAATTTGATTCACATGACTAAGAGAGAAACATGCTTTGTCATTCATGCAGTTGCTCTGATGTTTCAGATCCTGACATAATACAGGCATCATTGTCAGCTGTCCAGACCTGCACCACTCTGCTGCTGACATCAGTCTTCACAGACCTCACCCATACTGCAGGCATCATTGAGGCTCAGACAGACTTTCAGCTTGCTGTCTCACTAGGCTGTCTGTGTCCTGTCAACTGTCCTCCTCTACAGTATGTCCGGATCACCTCTGTGTGTGTGCTGTCACAGACTAAAGTCCATCTTTGTGTGTGGACAAGGTAGGTGTGATGTGTCAACTGTCCTCTACAGTATGTCCGGATCACCTCTGTGTGTGTGCTGTCACAGACTAAAGTCCATCTTTGTGTGTGGACAAGGTAGGTGTGATGTGTCAACTGTCCTCCTCTACAGTATGTCGGATCACCTCTGTGTGTGTGCTGTCACAGACTAAAGTCCATCTTTCTGTCTGGATAAGTAGGTGTGATGTGTCAGCTGTCCTCTACAGTATGTCCGGATCACCTCTGTGTGTGTGCTGTCACAGACTAAAGTCCATCTTTGTGTGTGGACAAGGTAGGTGTGATGTGTCAACTGTCCTCTACAGTATGTCCGGATCACCTCTGTGTGTGTGCTGTCACAGACTAAAGTCCATCTTTGTGTGTGGACAAGGTAGGTGTGATGTGTCAACTGTCCTCCTCTACAGTATGTCGGATCACCTCTGTGTGTGTGCTGTCACAGACTAAAGTCCATCTTTCTGTCTGGATAAGTAGGTGTGATGTGTCAACTGTCCTCCTCTACAGTATGTCCGGATCACCTCTGTGTGTGTGCTGTCACAGACTAAAGTCCATCTTTGTGTGTGGACAAGGTAGGTGTGATGTGTAAACTGTCCTCTACAGTATGTCGGATCACCTCTGTGTGTGTGCTGTCACAGACTAAAGTCCATCTTTGTGTCTGGACAAGGTAGGTGTGATGTTTCAACTGTCCTCTACAGTATGTCCGGATCACCTCTGTGTGTGTGCTGTCACAGACTAAAGTCCATCTTTGTGTGTGGACAAGGTAGGTGTGATGTGTCAACTGTCCTCCTCTACAGTATGTCGGAATACCTCTGTGTGTGTGCTGTCACAGACTAAAGTCCATCTTTGTGTGTGGACAAGGTAGGTGTGATGTGTCAACTGTCCTCCTCTACAGTATGTCGGATCACCTCTGTGTGTGTGCTGTCACAGACTAAAGTCCATCTTTGTGTCTGGACAAGGTAGGTGTGATGTGTCAACTGTGCTCCTCTACAGTATGTCCGGATCACCTCTGTGTGTGTGCTGTCACAGACTAAAGTCCATCTTTGTGTGTGGACAAGGTAGGTGTGATGTGTCAACTGTCCTCCTCTACAGTATGTCCGGATCACCTCTGTGTGTGTGCTGTCACAGACTAAAGTCCATCTTTGTGTCTGGACAAGGTAGGTGTGATGTGTAAACTGTCATCTACAGTATGTCGGATCACCTCTGTGTGTGTGCTGTCACAGACTAAAGTCCATCTTTGTGTGTGGACAAGGTAGGTGTGATGTGTCAACTGTCCTCCTCTACAGTATGTCCGGATCACCTCTGTGTGTGTGCTGTCACAGACTAAAGTCCATCTTTGTGTGTGGACAAGGTAGGTGTGATGTGTCAACTGTCCTCTACAGTATGTCCGGATCACATCTGTGTGTGTGCTGTCACAGACTAAAGTCCATCTTTGTGTCTGGACAAGGTAGGTGTGATGTGTCAACTGTCCTCCTCTACAGTATGTCGGATCACCTCTGTGTGTGTGCTGTCACAGACTAAAGTCCATCTTTGTGTGTGGACAAGGTAGGTGTGATGTGTCAACTGTCCTCCTCTACAGTATGTCGGATCACCTCTGTGTGTGTGCTGTCACAGACTAAAGTCCATCTTTGTGTGTGGACAAGGTAGGTGTGATGTGTCAACTGTGCTCCTCTACAGTATGTCCGGATCACCTCTGTGTGTGTGCTGTCACAGACTAAAGTCCATCTTTGTGTGTGGACAAGGTAGGTGTGATGTGTCAACTGTGCTCCTCTACAGTATGTCCGGATCACCTCTGTGTGTGTGCTGTCACAGACTAAAGTCCATCTTTGTGTCTGGACAAGGTAGGTGTGATGTGTCAACTGTCCTCCTCTACAGTATGTCCGGATCACCTCTGTGTGTGTGCTGTCACAGACTAAAGTCCATCTTTGTGTCTGGATAAGTAGGTGTGATGTGTCAACTGTCCTCCTCTACAGTATGTCCGGATCACCTCTGTGTGTGTGCTGTCACAGACTAAAGTCCATCTTTGTGTGTGGACAAGGTGGGTGTGATGTGTCAACTGTCCTCCTCTACAGTATGTCCGGATCACCTCTGTGTGTGTGCTGTCACAGACTAAAGTCCATCTTTGTGTGTGGACAAGGTAGGTGTGATGTGTTAACTGTCCTCTGCACTGTATCCGGATCACCTCTGTGTGTGTGCTGTCACAGACTAAAGTCCATCTTTGTGTCTGGACAAGGTAGGTGTGATGTGTCAGCTGTCCCCTACAGTATGTCGGATCACCTCTGTGTGTGTGTGCTGTCACAGACTAAAGTCCATCTTTGTGTCTGGACAAGGTAGGTGTGATGTGTCAGCTGTCCTCTACAGTATATCGGATCACCTCTGTGTGTGTGCTGTCACAGACTTAAGTCCATCTTTGTGTGTGGACAAGGTAGGTGTGATGCGTCAGCTGTCCTCTACAGTATGTCGGATCACCTCTGTGTGTGTGCTGTCACAGACTAAAGTCCATCTTTGTGTCTGGACAAGGTAGGTGTGATGTGTCAGCTGTCCTCTACAGTATGTCGGATCACCTCTGTGTGTGTGCTGTCACAGACTAAAGTCCATCTTTGTGTGTGGACAAGGTAGGTGTGATGTGTCAGCTGTCCTCTACAGTATATTGGATCACCTCTGTGTGTGTGCTGTCACAGACTAAAGTCCATCTTTGTGTCTGGACAAGGTAGGTGTGATGGGTCAGCTGTTCTCTACAGTATGTCGGATCACCTCTGTCTGTGTGCTGTCACAGACTAAAGTCCATCTTTGTGTCTGGACAAGGTAGGTGTGATGTGTCAGCTGTCCTCTACAGTATGTCGGATCACCTCTGTGTGTGTGCTGTCACAGACTTAAGTCCATCTTTGTGTGTGGACAAGGTAGGTGTGATGTGTCAGCTGTCCTCTACAGTATGTCGGATCACCTCTGTGTGTGTGCTGTCACAGACTAAAGTCCATCTTTGTGTCTGGACAAGGTAGGTGTGATGTGTCAGGTGTCCTCCTCTACAGTATGTCAGGATGTGTGTGTGCTGTCACTTTATTTCTTTTTCTTTTTCTGTGTGATGTAATTGATGTATTTAATTATGTTTATACAGGTAACTGTCCGTCCTTCCACCATCATTCTGTAAGACATTCTCCAACTGTTTCTTCATCCTGATGACTTTCTTTCAGAGACTGTAACCAACTGGAGCTGCTTGTGGACTACCTCTCATCACACCTCCCTGACGATGTCATCATCTCACACAGCGAGGATGCAGGCCTTCAATATGCTGTCAATGATACTGTGTCCAGCCTGAGTCAGGAGGTGAAGGCACTCTCCATGATGGTGAAGACACTGTTGGAAGACAGCAACCAGGCTGTGAAGGCATTGATGAGTTCAAGTGCCTCGGTGGCTGGTGATATGCAGCAGGACCAACTAACTGACTTCCAGCACAGGTTCCGTGAAGAGCAGGCTGCTGTACACAGATGTGTCGACACCGGTGTGTCTGTAGGGGATGCCAGGGTGTTGACAGACAACATCCTCAGGCTGGAGAGACTGACAGACCAACACATCGCATGTATGAAGAGTGTGGACTGATGCTGCCTTGGTGTGATGGGAACTGTGCGCTGTTGTAGTGACATATATGAGTGAACTGGGTCAACCACTTTGAACAGTATTTCAGTAAAGAAGAGGCTTGAGGAAAAGCATAGGGCAATGAAATCCTGCATGTCATGAACTACTGATCGTTTTGTGGTAGCATTAACAAATCTTTTAACGATCACATAACTATATTTGAATAATATTTTCACAATAATTTTATGACGTTAATTAATATTGCGAGTGGGCAATATAACCACCATGCTGCAGTAACTATTGCTAGGTTGGGCAGGACTAGAGAAATCACTGGTTGACAGCGTGAGCAATAATAAAGATATTGTGGAGAATATATATTGCCATGGTTTATTGTTTTTATATGTTGTTGTGTTATATATATATGATAAGTTAAATGCGTTGCTGCACCAATCATTGAAATGTGAAATTGCTCAGTTCAACAAAATATTTAATGAAGCATGGAAACCATCTTATATAAATGTACCTTCAACTTGATTTCATATTTCTACATTTTACTATTGATACTTTGGTTACTAGCTTGTAGAGCTAATGTTTAGCCTGATCAATTGTACAGTTTTAATGAGATTACATTGATTTTAGTTGTGATTTTGTGTGTACTGGTGGTGGTTGAAAAAGGTGCTGATCGACTGCTCTGATTCATAAATAAATTTATGCATACAGAACCGTAGTAGACACAACTCATTTCAGAAAAGTGAGAAATCATTCCTTAAAAAATCAGATTAGACTGTCAGAATAGTTAAAAAGTAACATTAATATATACTGGCCATCTGTATTGTATGAACTTTGCCTGATTCAGACTAATTTCTCTTCTGAATTGAACCACAAGAACCACAAGAATGTGTTTTCTTTCTCAAGAATTGTACTTCTTGTGTGGCCTAGGCATTCAGTTAAATAATGTTTTACCCTCTTGGGAGTCTCTTCACCCTTTAGTATGGGTTTAAATTTGGATATTGTTCAGGAATTATTGAGCCAGATTTTGCAAACTGAGCTACAATTTTATTCCCAGTAGTCCAACATGCGATGGAATCCTTGTAATATGCTTTTAGTTCAGATATGTGTCCAGCTTTAAGAGCTCTCTTTCAATGTTGTTTCTTCATCCTTTGGTACCAGATTCTACTGCTGCTATTTGCAGGTGGTCACATGCATTTACCCATCTTAACATTTCAGCTGCAGAAACTGAGATGGAGTCATCATACCTGAACATTGAATCCCTTGACGAATAAGTAAACAGCTTTTATAACATTTGGGTCAATCTTTTGTTGACTATGATCAGAATTCAGATCATACCAAAGTCCAGGTTTCCAAGAAGAGAAAAGCCGCAGAAGTATCCCTAAGTGAAGAGGAATCAACTTGGTTACTATTTGAAACTTCATGCTGTGAAGCAAGTTTCTGAACACCCAAACTAAAGGGACTTTGCCACGAGAACAAACACCTATGGCATTCTGTCATCAACTGCAACATCAGTTTAATGGTATTTGTTTTTAACCCTCATTTTGAGATAGTATTTGAGACATGAGTCTACAACTTGATTCAGTAACATTTCTGAGCCTTAGACCTCTTATAGTTGCCACAGTCATGCATATTCGATAAGCCTCTGATAATGTGATCAGTTTTAGGAAGATGACAATTTGCAGCAGACATCAGACCCTGGCAATGATAGTCAAGCCTGGATAAACTCAATGATTTATCATACTTATAAACCAATAGCGCTGATGGTTTAACAGCCCCCAATTTGTTTTGTCAATGAGAGTATTTCACATAGTTGCATAAAGAAAGGACCAAATCAATGTTCCAAATTCAGGGTTCATTTTTGAATAGAGTAGCTTAGTTGTCTGTTTAGAGGAAGGCATCTTAAAGGACAAGGATGCCAGTGTAAGGTATTACTGAAAGGACAGGGATCCCAGTGTAAGTATTACTGAAAGGGCAGGGATCCCAGTGTAAGGTATTACTGAAATAACAATGATGCCAGTGTAAGGTATTACTGAAAGGACAGGGATCCCAGTGTAAAGTATTACTGAAAGGGCAGGGATCCCAGTGTAAGGTATTACTGAAAGGACAGGGATCCCAGTGTAATGTATTACTGAAAGGACAGGGATCCCAGTGTAAGGTATAACTGAAAGGGCAGGGATCCCAGTGTAAGGTATTACTGAAAGGACAGGGATCCCAGTGTAAGGTATTACTGAAAGGACAGGGATCCCAGTGTAAGGTATAACTGAAAGGGCAGGGATCCCAGTGTAAGGTATTACTGAAAGGACAGGGATCCTAGTGTAAGGTATTACTGAAAGGACAGGGATCCCAGTGTAAGGTATAACTGAAATAACAATGATGCCAGTGTAAGGTATTACTGAAATAACAACGATGCCAGTGTAAGGTATTACTGAAATAACAACGATGCCAGTGTAAGGTATTACTGAAAGGACAGGGATCCCAGTGTAAGGTATAACTGAAATAACAATGATGCCAGTGTAAGGTATTATTGAAATAACAACGATGCCAGTGTAAGGTATTACTGAAATAACAACGATGCCAGTGTAAGGTATTACTGAAAGGACAGGGATCCCAGTGTAAGGTATAACTGAAATAACAATGATGCCAGTGTAAGGTATTACTGAAATAACAACGATGCCAGTGTAAGGTATTACTGAAATAACAATGATGCCAGTGTAAGGTATTACTGAAATAACAATGATGCCAGTGTAAGGTATTACTGAAAGGGCAGGGATCCCAGTGTAAGGTATTACTGAAATAACAATGATGCCAGTGTAAGGTATTACTGAAAGGACAGGGATCCCAGTGTAAGGTATAACTGAAATAACAATGATGCCCGTGTAAGGTATTACTGAAATAACAACGATGCCAGTGTAAGGTATTACTGAAAGGACAGGGATCCCAGTGTAAGGTATAACTGAAATAACAATGATGCCAGTGTAAGGTATTACTGAAAGGACAGGGATCCCAGTGTAAGGTATAACTGAAATAACAATGATGCCAGTGTAAGGTATTACTGAAAGGACAGGGATCCCAGTGTAAGGTATAACTGAAATAACAATGATGCCAGTGTAAGGTATTACTGAAATAACAACGATGCCAGTGTAAGGTATTACTGAAAGGACAGGGATCCCAGTGTAAGGTATAACTGAAATAACAACGATGCCCGTGTAAGGTATTACTGAAATAACAACGATGCCAGTGTAAGGTATTACTGAAAGGACAGGGATCCCAGTGTAAGGTATAACTGAAATAACAATCATGCCAGTGTAAGGTATTACTGAAATAACAACGATGCCAGTGTAAGGTATTACTGAAATAACAATGATGCCAGTGTAAGGTATTACTGAAAGGGCAGGGATCCCAGTGTAAGGTATTACTGAAATAACAATGATGCCAGTGTAAGGTATTACTGAAAGGGCAGGGATCCCAGTGTAAGGTATTACTGAAAGGGCAGGGATCCCAGTGTAAGGTATGACTGAAAGGACAGGGATCCCAGTGTAAGGTATAACTGAAATAACAATGATGCCAGTGTAAAGTATTACTGAAATAACGATGCCAGTGTAAGGTATAACTGAAATAACAATGATGCCCGTGTAAGGTATTACTGAAATAACAACAATGCCAGTGTAAGGTATTACTGAAATAACAATGATGCCAGTGTAAGGTATTACTGAAATAACAACGATGCCAGTGTAAAGTATTACTGAAAGGACAGGGATCCCAGTGTAAGGTATTACTGAAAGGGCAGGGATCCCAGTGTAAGGTATTACTGAAAGGGCAGGGATCCCAGTGTAATAACAATGATGCCAGTGTAAGGTATTACTGAAATAACAACGATGCCAGTGTAAGGTATTACTGAAATAACAATGATGCCAGTGTAAGGTATTACTGAAATAACAATGATGCCAGTGTAAGGTATTACTGAAATAACAACGATGCCAGTGTAAGGTATTACTGAAATAACAATGATGCCAGTGTAAGGTATTACTGAAAGGGCAGGGATCCCAGTGTAAGGTATTACTAATAGGGCAGGTATCCCAGTGTAAGGTATGACTGAAAGGACAGGGATCCCAGTGTAAGGTATAACTGAAATAACAATGATGCCAGTGTAAGGTATTACTGAAATAACAACGATGCCAGTGTAAGGTATTACTGAATGGACAGGGATCCCAGTGTAAGGTATAACTGAAATAACAATGATGCCAGTGTAAGGTATTACTGAAAGGACAGGGATCCCAGTGTAAGGTATAACTGAAATAACAATGATGCCCGTGTAAGGTATTACTGAAATAACAACGATGCCAGTGTAAGGTATTACTGAAAGGACAGGGATCCCAGTGTAAGGTATAACTGAAATAACAATGATGCCAGTGTAAGGTATTACTGAAAGGACAGGGATCCCAGTGTAAGGTATAACTGAAATAACAATGATGTCAGTGTAAGGTATTACTGAAATAACAACGATGCCAGTGTAAGGTATTACTGAAATAACAATGATGCCAGTGTAAGGTATTACTGAAAGAACAGTGTGAGGTATTATGGATTAGAGAGGGGTGCCATTGTACAGTATTAGGGAAAAGAGGGGGGTGCCAGTGTAAGCTATTACGGATAAGAGGGGTGTGCCAGTGTAAGGTATTACGGATAAGAGGGGGGTGCCAGTGTAAGGTATTACTGAAAGAACAGTGTGAGGTATTACGGATAAGAGGGGAGTGCCAGTGTAAGGTATTACGGATAAGAGGGGGGTGCCAGTGTAAGGTATTACGGATAAGAGGGGGGTGCCAGTGTAAGGTATTACGGATAAGAGAGGGGTGCCAGTGTAAGGTATTACGGATAAGAGGGGGATGCCAGTGTAAGGTATTACGGATAAGAGGGGGGTGCCAGTGTAAGGTATTACGGATAAGAGGGTAGTGCCAGTGTAAGGTATTACGGATAAGAGAGGGGTGCCAGTGTAAGGTATTACTGAAGGAACAGTGTGAGGTATTACGGATAAGAGCGGAGTGCCAGTGTAAGGTATTACGGATAAGAGGGGGGTGCCAGTGTAAGGTATTACGGATAAGAGGGGGATGCCAGTGTAAGGTATTACGGATAAGAGGGGAGTGCCAGTGTAAGGTATTACGTATAAGAGGGGAGTGCCAGTGTAAGGTATTACGGATAAGAGGGGGGTGCCAGTGTAAGGTATTACGGATAAGAGGGGGTGCCAGTGTAAGGTATTACGGATAAGAGGGGGATGCCAGTGTAAGGTATTACGGATAAGAGGGTAGTGCCAGTGTAAGGTATTACGGATAAGAGGGGGTGCCAGTGTAAGGTATTACGGATAAGAGGGGGATGCCAGTGTAAGGTATTACGGATAAGAGAGGGGTGCCAGTGTAAGGTATTACGGATAAGAGGGGGGTGCCAGTGTAAGGTATTACGGATAAGAGGGTAGTGCCAGTGTAAGGTATTACGGATAAGAGAGGGGTGCCAGTGTAAGGTATTACTGAAGGAACAGTGTGAGGTATTACGGATAAGAGCGGAGTGCCAGTGTAAGGTATTACGGATAAGAGGGGGGTGCCAGTGTAAGGTATTACGGATAAGAGGGGGATGCCAGTGTAAGGTATTACGGATAAGAGGGGAGTGCCAGTGTAAGGTATTACGTATAAGAGGGGAGTGCCAGTGTAAGGTATTACGGATAAGAGGGGGGTGCCAGTGTAAGGTATTACGGATAAGAGGGGGTGCCAGTGTAAGGTATTACGGATAAGAGGGGGATGCCAGTGTAAGGTATTACGGATAAGAGGGTAGTGCCAGTGTAAGGTATTACGGATAAGAGGGGGTGCCAGTGTAAGGTATTACGGATAAGAGGGGGATGCCAGTGTAAGGTATTACGGATAAGAGAGGGGTGCCAGTGTAAGGTATTACGGATAAGAGGGGGGTGCCAGTGTAAGGTATTACGGATAAGAGAGGGGTTCCAGTGTAAGGTATTACGGATAAGAGGGGGGTGCCAGTGTAAGGTATTAGGGAAAAGAGGGGGGTGCCAGTGTAAGGTATTACGGATAAGAGGGGGGTGCCAGTGTAAGGTATTATGGATAAGAGAGGGGTGCCAGTGTAAGGTATTAGGGAAAAGAGGGGGGTGCCAGTGTAAGGTATTACGGATAAGAGGGGAGTGCAAGAGTAAGGTATTATGGAAAAGAGGGGGGTGCCAGTGTAAGGTATTACTGACATTCTTTCTTTAGCGTTTACATGCATCAAGATAGCATCCAAGTGTGGTAATAGCCAACAATTTCATTTGTGAGTGTAAAAGTTTTTCGAAATCAAATAAATTAACTACAACCGAAAATAATTTATTGTTACGATTTTGTAAATTTGATACTTTGATAGGTTTCACTAAACATTAATGATGCCAAGACATTTCTGAAACTGATTCAGCGAAAGACTTCAGATTGCTGAAACATCTCTAAATATCCGTCAACAGGAAAAACCCAGTATTTTCACGATGAATAAACTCTCTGGAACATGTAACTTTACTAGTAAATACAGTAATCAGATGGCATGGCGAGTCGTAATTAACATAGGTTAAGATGATATTACAAAGTTGTTTTTTTCCCATTCATCTCAAAATCGACGTATTAGCTTGCCTTCAAGTCATTTCAATGTACACAACCGTGTCTAGTGTGATGAACTGACAATGACGAAGTTACTCATTGACGTAAAACAACGCTCCAAAGGAAAAAAATCCAATTTAATAAACAATACAAATAAATAAACAATGAATAATAAGCTCATTAATAACAAAGCCCCCAATAGCAAATATGTTGAAAACTACATCCTTGACATGAATCCTTGACATGAAACCTTCCTCTATAGTATGAAAGGTGGAGGTAACTGTGTGTTGGGTATGTTCTTGTAGAAAGCTAGAGAAGATGCAGATTAAGACACGTGGATTTACAAATAATACAGAAGTTGAAAGTTTATATCACGTGTGAAATAAAAGGAAGTATAATCAACACTACAATTACATTAACATTAAGAACGGTTGTTACGTATTTCACATGTTTCACGCGATGCTTTAATGACTGCAAGCTAGGGATGCCATGCGTGCAGCAGATTTAACACATGGTGAGATCGGAACACTATGGTCTTATGGGATTAGTTTCCCGTGGATGAGACATGTTCCGGGGTGGGTGGAGCTCCTGATGTGGACAACGTGGACACACTGAGACATCCCCAGACACATGAGTAAGCAGTCTTCCTCCACGTCAACTCGGCACATTTCCAGGAGTTGGACCTCCTCCTCTAGGCTGTGGTAGAAGGTGCACACTGGAGTGCCTGCTGAAAAACACAGACGCCACTCTATACAGTATACTGGATCTTCAACATAGGTGGCTAATGTCTTGTCAACATAGTGCAGTGATACTATTAAAGAAAGACAATAAGTCATATGCCATCTGCAGTGTACCTATTATTATAAACCATCGTATAAATCTGGATTCATAAAATGCCTCAGTGTTTATTAACATTTATTATCTGTCTTCTGAATATTCCGAAACTCAATAATCAAAGATAAGATACTGTGGCTTCTATTTATACTGACCCTATGAATCGGCAGATGTCTATTCTGGAAATTCCTTACTCAAGTTATCTGCAGTGAGTATTTATGACCACACGAACATTCTGTAACATTCTGCTTTGTTTTCTGATTTTGTGGGGGTGATATATATATATATATATATATTACACGGAACTCTTACTCTGATTAGGTTCACAAAATCCATTCTGTCTGTTTCCTTTTGAAAAACTCCTGAAACTGCTTTTCTCGGATGCAGGTTGTGGTAGTTCTGCAGAGAAGTAAATCAACGTAAAAACTTAATTACAAGGTCTAACTCACCGCAGGCACAGCCATTAAATGTCATTCAAAGCGTCGTTTATTAAGATCTGACGTTGTCCAGTCAATCCATTCAATTTCCAACAACTCCAGTTTTATCTCTGCAAATTACATGTGACATAATACCTTTATGTTTCCACCGTCGGTTGCTATCTTGCTATATTAGCTCAAACCTATATCTGCAAATTGTATCCAATCAACTATCAAACAATTCAATCAGCTATTGTATTGAATCATTGTGTTGAATATCCTATTTGTGACTAGTCGAATTGTAAAATCCTTTCCCACATAGGATCGACCAGCAGACACACTTGGCTTTCTTCATGTTAATCTTGTGGAAGCAGCTTCCTAACTTAAATCTTCTCTATAACGCGCAGAACCTAACAGCATTGCTAACAATTCATGAACCCAAATGCGATTAAAGCCAATGACTTTACTTCTGAAAACACACATTTTTCACTGAGGTTATCTTGAACAATGGGATTTGCGGAACCTTTGGGGAGACCTGCGATCCCAACAGCATAAGTTTTCCATCTCCATGATAACCTTTCAATATTTGCAGCCGAGTAAGTACCGCCCTGGAGGCACAGCGATGTGTAAATATATATAACCAGGATGCTATAACATTTATTGATTCAATGGCTGCTGATCGAGCAATTTTATCAGGAAGAACTAGGCCAAGAAAGTCTGTCCAAAGTTCGGCAATGGAAGAGAAGGGAGGGCACTGTGGGATAAACGCGTACCGAAGTATTGTCCACAACATCTTTTCCATCATGGTAGTGATAAGATTCCGGAAACTGTATAACACTATTTGTATTGAATGCCCTGCACACAATCATTTCAGACAAAATCTAAGAAGTGAAGCATTGGAGAAACAAGTTACATTTTGTCTTGCTGCAATTATTGGCCAAGTCACATGTATTGGTCGGCCCATAGAGATGCCAAATTGTGGAATAATAGATGTATTATAAACTATATATTTCAAAGGATTTTAATGCTCTTTGAGGATCAAATTCTCTTTTAATGAATGTGAATGACAGACAGACAGACAGACAGTCAGAAACAGACACGCGCAGCACACAGACACGACACACACGGGACACGCACGCACGCACGCACGCACGCACGCACGCATGAACTGTTTTATAGCGGCTGTTTTATTGACTCTTTGAGTGGATCATATATAATAGATTATGCTCTTTGTTTAAAAATACTATATATTCTTTATAAAGTAATTTAACGTTTTACGAATGTTCTTACAGCCTGTTGGTATCTGTCAAAGAATTGGGCGCAAATAGACCTTTTCCCCGTGGCTCAAGTTCACACGGAACCTGTACTACTACTAGAAATAACGTCACATAATGTACTCTCTTATTGGGAAGCCATAACAAAAATAGATGCACTGATTCATTATTAATAACAATAATTACCATCCTTAAAATATCTACTTTCGGTAAAGGAAATTGACATGCTATTACAGAATGCCATCTGCTGTTTGTCTTGCCATCTACGAGGCAAAACATCTAATCATGATGCAATAGGCCTACCGTCTCCTTCACAAAGCACGGTCGAGAAGTTTGAACAGCTTGACATTTCATACACAGCGACATCTCCCGCAAGAGTCAGGGTGACACACTCGTACTTGGAGGAGAGATCTGGCTGGCCGATCGCCCACTGAAGTTCAGTAACGTTGACAGTCCCTCCCCATCCCTCCCACCAGAACGAAGCTTCTCTAATGTCGTAACGCAGACTTGACCAGAACTGCCGTGTCCTAATAAAGGCAAATGAATTGAAGAATTACGCACTGATATATAATCCATGGAGACATGGAATTTGAACGTGTGTTTTGAACAACCAACAACCAGACAATACCCTGCAAGCAGGGACACCAAACACCGCCTTACCATTACTCGCAGGGTTCACATTAGATTACTCAGAAAACAAAAGCAATGAACCAGTGAGTGCTCCTTTTCGTTTCAGCTAGCTTAGACATAGAGCCTAAGCACGTCAAGTCAACAAATACCTCCTGTCAGTGCACTTAGAACCAGACAAACTATACACAAAACATTTGTTTAAAATAATATTATGCACTTCCGTTTTCGGAAGAACACATGTTTACAGCATTGGTTATTTTTACTTCAACCAGATACACCCATAGTTCTAGGTAAGTTTATAAACTTAATAGAATTGTATTGGTTTCTTAAACCACTTTCTGCAGCATGAGAAGTATAAACCTGAAAGTCTCACGGTTCTAACATAGTTTATAACAAAGTTATTTGTTCGAATTATTTGACACATTAGGGACAACAGTGATGTCTGGTGCAATTCCTATTTTGACCATCGTGTTCCCGTGTATTTTTAGGTGAACAATTGACGGTCTTTTGAAGGGTTCCATCGGTGTATGAACCCATGATTTATAGTGAATGCGTGAGAAAAATGCTTCATATATAGCGAGTGCGTGGACCCAGTGATTGAGTGAGTGAGTGAGTGAGTGAGTATGGTTTTACGCCGCTTTTAGCAATATTCCAGCAATATCACGGCGGGGGACACCAGAAATGGGCTTCACACATTGTACCCATGTCGGGAATCGAACCCGGGTCTTCGGCGTGACGAGCGAACGCTTTAACCACTAGGCTACCCGACCGCCCCACCCAGTGATTGATTTATAGTGAATGCGTGAGGTAAATGCTTGATCAATAGCGAGTGTGTGAACCCAGTGATTGATTTATAGTGAATGCGTTAGGTAAATGCTTGATCTATAGCGAGTGCGTGGACCCAGTGCTTGATACATATACTGAATATGTGACATACATCATTGATTTGTTGTGGTTGTTTAAACTAAATGCCTGATAAATTGTGTGTCAACTGCATGCTGTGTATGTGTGTGAACCCAGTGCTTGGGTTATAGAGAGTATGTGAACCCAGTGCTTGGGATATAGAGAGTATGTGAACCCAGTGCTTGGGATATAGAGAGTGTGTGAACCCAGTGCTTGGGATATAGAGAGTGTGTGAACCCAGTGCTTGGGATATAGAGAGTATGTGAACCCCAATGCTTGGGATATAGAGAGTGTGTGAACCCAGTGCTTGGGATATAGAGAGTGTGTGAACCCAGTGCTTGGGATATAGAGAGTGTGTGAACCCAGTGCTTGGGATATAGAGAGTATGTGCAACCAGTCCTTGGGATATAACAAGTATGTGAAACCAGGTGCTTGGGATATAGCGAATATGTGAAACCAGTCCTTGGGATATAGCAAGTATGTGAAACGAGCTGCTTGGGATATAGCGAGTATGTGCACCAGTGCTTGGAATATAGCAAGTATGTGAAACCAGTTCTTGGGATATAGCGAGTATATGAAACCAGTCCTTGGGATATAGCGAATATGTGCAACCAGTCCTTGGGATATAGCGAGTATGTGAAACCAGTCCTTGGGATATAGCGAGTATATGAAACCAGTGCTTGGAATATAGGAAGTATGTGAAACCAGTCCTTGGGATATAGTGAGTATAGGAAACCAGGTGCTTGGGATATAGCAAGTATGTGAAACCAGTCATTGGGATATAGCAAGTATGTGAAACCAGTGCTTGGAATATAGCAAGTATGTGAAACCAGTTCTTGGGATATAGCGAGTATGTGAAACCAGGTGCTTGGGATATAGGAAGCATGTGAAACCAGTCCTTGGGTATGGGAGACCAGTCCTTGGGATATAGCAAGTATGTGAAACCAGTGCTTGGGATATAGAGGGTATATGAAACAAGTCCTTGGGATATAGTGAGTATATGAAACCAGTCCTTGGGATATAGCGAGTATGTGAAGCCAGTCCTTGGGATATAGCGAGTATATGAAACCAGTGCTTGGGATATAGCAAATATGTGAAACCAGTCCTTTGGATATAGCAAATATGTGAAACCAGTCCTTGGGATATAGTGAGTATATGAAACCAGTCCTTGGGATATAGTGAGTATATGAAACCAGTCCTTGGGATATAGCAAGTATATGAAACCAGTGCTTGGGGTATAGCGAGTATGTGAAACCAGTGCTTGGGATAAAGCGAGCACGTGAACCAGATGCATGGGATATAGCAAGTATGTGAAACCAGGTGCTTTGGATATAGCAAGCAAGTGAAACCAGTGTTTGGGATATAGCAAGTATGTGAAACCGGTCCTTAAAATATAGCAAGTATGTGAAACCAGTGCTTGGGATAAAGCGAGTATGTGAAACCAGTGCTTGGGATAAAGCGAGTATGTGAAACCAGTGCTTGTGATATAGCGAGTTTGTGAAACCAGTCCTTGGGATATAGGAAGTATGTAAAAAGAGTGCTTGGGATAAAGCGAGTATTTCAAACCAGTGCTTGGGATATAGCGAGTATATGAAACCAGTCCTTGGGATATAGCGAGTATGTGAAACCAGGTGCTTGGGATATAGCGAGTATTTGAAACCAGGTGTTTGGGATATAGCTAATATGTAAAACCTCTGCATGCTTACTTACGAATTGATCGCATGTAAACTTTCCCCCAAAATGTTGGAAATAATTAAATATATAAGATAGCTACGAGATAAATCGCAAAGAACAAATGAAGAACGAACCTAGGTTTATTTCACGATAAAACATTGTTCTATTATGACGTCATTTCTGGAGATTCGAAAATGCGCTCTCAACTTGAGGACGTCGTAAACTGGCCGACATTATTTTTGAGAGGGAAGTGTATTGTGAGTTCGACGTAGCTGGGCAACGCAGATGAACGCAGTAGTCGAACCATCGCACCATAAAGTGAGAGACATGTGATAATCTGTATTGTGCAAAAGGTACAGATAATCGTAATAATCAAATTGTGAGAATATCCGAGAAATATCAAACGTAACCCCCCTCTCCTTAGATTGGATATGCTAGACATTGCCGTGGTCGGATTGTATTCAAGGAGTAAAGCTTGCACATTTTATTAACGTCCTTAAAGAGACTGTGCATAATGTTGATGACTCATATAAGATACAAACGAGTCAGAGTCGTTGTTTGTCGAATCATAAAACACTGCAGGGAAAATAAACCACTCGGGGCTGCGCCCATCACGGTATATTCTCCCTGCGGTGTTTTACAATACGATATACATCTCCCACTCGTCGATAATGTCTTACTTAATGTAGTCATCGGTCTTCACAAGTTTCGAAACTGACCGCAAGAAATCGAACGGTTTCGGAACCAAAACGTAACGACACAACACACCGAAACATTGCACGCGGACCATAAACTTACTTCATACACGTGAGCTTTGGGGTCATTATCATTTGGGAAGGTCGTTAAATCGCTCTGAGCCATTTGTATTGTTGATTATCATTATCCACAGCGACACGTAGGCTCCCTACTCTTGCTGTAATGCACTATTTGAGATCAGATTGGGAATGCGTCGTCTACAACGTGGTAAACGCCGGAGGGCATGCTTCTAACGGGTAGAAGTCAGCGACAGGTTGCTAATATATTCAAATTCAATGTGTCTCACTTTGTGAGTAGCAGACATTTGAACAGGTTTCTGAGGACATCAAATGAGGACATAAGTCCAGAATAGATTAATCAGAAACCATTCTTTATGAAAACGAATCCAAATAGCCAATCAAATCGATGTTCACTTTCGACAGCCCACCAGGTTGGAAATTGGAAATCCTCTGCATGCTTGGTGACCATGCACGTGTTGCACCATCATTAACAAATTGACATATTCTAGTTAGAACCATAAAGTGTTTAGAGTGCATTCTTATGAGGCAGTGTATGTAGTAAACGTATTCCAGGTGATAAATGATTATTGTGGCAGCTATTTGTTTGCATCGCTCGTATAACGTTGAGTTGGGGTACAAGTGACCTCCCTTGGTTGCTGATTGTGCAGACTCCGTCTCAGTGCTTACTCTCGGTTTAGAGAGGTTCGTTGTGTGGGATTTACTTGTTTATTGTTTATTCACTTCCGGAAAACACGACATTATTCGCGGCGCATCCAGGCATGTTCGAGAATGCTGGTTGTACCCATATAAGTGCAGGCAAGGGCGATGCCTTCTTTTTATACGACTTGACTTGAGCCTCATGAACTTGCCCGGGATAATTCTCCGAAAACACATATTGTTTCTGCCTGTTTCCAACACCAATTCATTCATTCGTCACCACACGCCCCTTTCCGTAACATGCAAGAAGACTCGTCCCCCTATCGGTGAATGTTTTTTGCGAAAATACGACAAATCAATCAGAATGCGCGTAATTCTTCGTCAAAGAATCCATCAGAAAAAGTTTTTGATTTTACAAATGTCTTGTATCTAAAAATATACCCAAGACACAGTTGAATGCGTTTAATCATACTGTATAATTTCGCATGTCCCGATGTGCTTAAATTGCATCTGAAATATATACAATATATGGGGAAATATATGTGAACCATTACGCAACGAGTTGACAATTGTTTTATGCATGCCCGTTTGCGCTAAGACGGAACACGGTCGCAAAAATGGCCCTGAGAGGGGCACGAGCAGCCTGGTGCACGTGTCGCTATTCGGATTGTCCCGAATGCAATTCATTGACTGAGAACGGAGTACGTGCTTCATTCAAAGTATTCAGTTATCACAAATAATGGACATTCGTCAGTGCACTTGCTTCGGAAACGTGAATGGACGCTGTTTTTAGCAGATGTTTCTTATGAATATGGAAAGGTTTTTGTCGTGCTGTATTTTGTAACAGGGCCTATTATTTATTGCTGCTGACACATATTTTAACCCATTGTTTTGCCTTTTGTGATTTTAATCCAAATCCTGTATATTTCAAAATAATTTGTTGATTGTTTATGGATCTTGTGTGGTTATTTACTGATTTCACCATTCAGTTCTGTACGTCCCGACGTTTGGGTTCACCTTCGCGTTTCAAATTTGGAATGAACACGTATCAGTAGAAACTGGAGAAATCGCTGATGGTCTCGTGTAATAATTCCAGAAGAATCAAGAGTCACTCTTGACTTTCTAGATAGGCATGGATTTGTCTAGACGCGTCCTCCCGGACGTCATACCAACAAATTAGGGGTCGGCTTGCAGTGATATCGGTCACAGCGCCACTGGATACTATCCGTGGAAGGGTCACTACCGAGACAACATACTAGCGCCAGTAGTTGTGCCATTCACGAGCCATACTGGTCCACGTTTTGTATTTTGAGACGTTAGTAACTGCCTACTTCCAGCAGTAAGTCAGCACCAGAATGCAATGGTCAGCCCTGATTCCCGACCTTTCCCCCACAG